TTATGTCAAAGGAAGTTGTTCCAGGTCAAATCGTGCTGAAAAACCTCATGGTGGAAAATTGTTTTGCGTCGAGAGTTTGCGTACGATCGAAAACATACCAAAACGAAGATAATGATAAATGCCTTCGTCCACTGTTTCCTCACAGACCCTACCCATTATTTCACCGTAAATTCAGACGGTATGTAAATCGTATTGTAATAAAATGTGTGTGTTTTTTATGAACATGTTTGTTTCTTCATTGTAAGTATCGTTCAAATCAATGACGCATTTTTTTTCAAAAATAAGTATTATTTTCCCGAGCCCGGCGTAGTGAACGAATATTTTTTTTGGATAATTTTTCGTTGTTTGCAAGATGGTTACAGTGTTTAACCCCAAAACAAAATCATTTTTTCTGAGTTGGTCCTCGAGTACAAGCTCATCCCTTACTTTTACTTTACGTGTTCATGCCTCCGGGCTTATGATCAGGGAAGTACGGTATACTGTGAAGATTCAGATCAGTCCAGTGTGAGTGATGAGAGTATATCGTCGACGATGCCCCTTGTTCGGATGAAAGTTTTATTTCAAATTACACGGAAGTCTGTGAACAATCTGCTTGGTGTTCCTGTGACACTTGTCCCATGATTTGCCAGTGCAGCCCCGTGAATACATGGACGAAAATGTTTCCACCACCACCCTACGAACTCAAGATTGCATACTCCAGCATCCATACTTTGAATAATTTGCACGCCGCACAGTGCAGTACTGGAAACAGCATTTATTAGACAGTTAGACAAAAAACAAAACAAAATGCCTGTCTCGATCAATCGCACATCCATAATGTTTGTATGCCGATACGCTTGTAAATAACATTAACGTAAAAGTCGAAACAACCTGGACTAGAAGTCAATTCACCAGTCCAGCCAGCTATGGCTCCCTAAGTTGCTTATATTTAATCAGATACTATTTCGTCATCATGCTTTGTTACCTTGCCTGTTTATACCTCATGAGGGCGTTTTTTTATGGCAAGATGGCGCAAACGGAAGTCCTTCGCAGGTTTATGGTTTCGCATATTTAAATCATCATAACTCTGAAGATAATCATTTTTTTTAAATTTTTTTTCAAATTTATAATCAATATACATAACTTGATAAATACAAACACCAAAATAGGCTCTATTTAGTTCCCCTTTAATATTAATCCCCCAATCAAGAATTTTACAACATAATCCTAATGCATACATTTCATTTACAGTATCAACATAATAAATAACACAATTGGACACATGATATCAAACAATATTTAATGCCTTCTAAGAAATTAAACTATATTTGTTTTTTCCATAGTTGTTCAGGCCAGCTGTGCTTTATTTCAAACCTCTTAATTTGCTCCAAAAGAAGCCATTGTATTATTTATTGGGCGTTTCATAAAGCGCTCTGACTTCATATAAGCGGCAATCTTTGGCAATGCCTGAAAACAACATACAAAACTGGAGTTAGTAGTTTTTGCAATGTTGATATTACTGGTATTTTGTTAAAATAAAATTTGTCTCAATTCAACCACAAATATATGAATAAATACAATTGACATGTGGATTATTACACAAATATGCAAGAACAAAATACATAAGCATAATTTTAAAACAAAATGACCACCAGTGAAAATATGGAGAACAAGGTCTATATTCTAATGTAGTTATTATATTTGTTTACATACCTCAAAACGTCCCTGGAATGCCTACAAGAAGAAAAAAGAAACATTTAAAAAAACATAAGTTGTGGATATATATATATATATATATATATAT